ATCTGAGTGAGGACTTCAGAATTGGGTCCTAAATAATTCAGAAGCACTTCATCCATCATTGAAATGCAGTAATTTCTTAACAGATAACAGCACAAGAGTTCAGGAAAGGAAATAAAGATGAATATGTTATTCAGCTGAAACCATAGGGGGAAATGTAGGCAGGCAGAATGGAATTACCCAAATTAAAATCTGGCCAGGACATCAGGAAAAAAGTGCCCAGAGGTTTAATGACTACTAGTGGCCAGCACCTCTACTTTATGCCTCAGCCTAGTAATAGTATTTCCAGAACAACAGTGGGATATTGGCTCACTATGGACTCGGGGGGTAAGAATGCCAATGAAGTAAGCACTATCCTCTCTGCAGCAACTGAGGTTTCCTTAAAGGTCTCCATTCCAAGTATGGATGCTCTGCATGTCAGAGAAGCAAAACTAAATCTTGGCTTTGAATAGCTGTGGGCTTCTTTGGAACAAAATCTTTTCTGAATTAAGAAATGTGGGAAATTCTAACTACTTTGTAGACTTTATGCCTGCTATTCCATCAATTTGATATTCTCTGAACATATTTTATTAGTCTCAGTTTTGAAATATGACACAAGGGAGCCTGGCATAAGGGAGCCTGACTACTGTCTAAACCATTGATTTCAATGGGGTTTAAGCATATGCTTAAAGTTACCTCCTCAAGTGCTTTGCTGAATCTGAGCTTTTATTGCTCAAGCCCCTCTTTAGTCTTATTGCTTTTCTGGGAGAACCTTTCTGCATTTCTCAGCAGCAAGCGTCAATAAAGAGGCTTGATTACATTACAAAAATGTCTACCAAATACCATTTAATGCAGACTTTTCAGGTCATCACTGGTGGGAATAGCAAAATGGATTTTACTTTGCAAGGTAAGATTAATTTCTAAATAAATGAGGCTGCAAAATACCCTATGCAGCATCTGTGGGCTGCGCTGCTTCCGCGACTGGAGAGAGAGAAAAAAAAGAACAGAGCATTTTAAAAGCTTTCAGTTTGAAATATGTTGCAATATCTTTTGTTTATTTTCCCTCATAAAAAAAAAAATCCCAACCAGAAAGATCGTAGGCAAAAAACATGGGTAATAATTTCTCCTAGTTGTTCTACTTTAAAATAAGAGATTGACATTTCCTCTGAATATAGTCTTATAATGCTCCAATGTTGAAGTAAATGAAATATATAAATAGAAGAAGGCTGATCAGCCCATTAGAGAGCCAGCTTTCAGTGTTCAATAAACACCTTTACTTTTAGGAGTGCTGTAAAAATACTGAGCAAAGCTTCTGAGACATATTCTAACTAGGGGGAGAATTGCTAGGGCTTCACTGGCCAAACCTGTCTACCGTATATGTGTGAACCATAACATTCACCTTATATATGTTCCACACTGATTTGGTGTGTGTCAGTAATTGCTATTCAATAATAACTATATAATATATCATGCTTTGGTGGATTAGTGTATCACTTCAGCAGCCTGCCACTGATGCCAATTCTATGAAGCATTCTATTACACTGGCAATAAAGTAAAACTGGTCTGCCTCAGCCTAGTAGAACCCTTAGGATGGTGGTGATTTAGGCAGTGGACAGGGACTCAAAAAAACCTGGTCCAGTTCCTGACTCTTGCTTGACATTTTGGCAAGTCACTGTGTGCCCCATCTGTAAAATTGGTATAATGCTTCTTCCCTAATTCATAGTGGTGGTGTGAGGCTAAATCCATAAATACCTAGGAGATGCTCAACAACCTGGAGATGGGGGCTAGATGAATACCCTGCTAGCTAGCCAGAATACTGCATGTCCTCCCTAGAGAAGAATGCACCCTGGAGCAGATGGGGCCTAGCTAGCACAAGAAAGTGCATTTATACCCTTTTCCCATCTACAGGCCAACACCAGTTTCTTTGCACCATTAGCGAATTATATGCCTCACTGAGAGGGTGTGAAGATTAATAACTACTGTGATCCCCATTTTAAAGATGAGCAACTGAAGCCCACAGAGTTTAAGGGACTTGCCTAAAGTTAGTGTCAAAAATAGGATTAAAACTGAGGTGTCTGTGGCTTCAGTGTTGTGCTGACTCTCCACTCAGCATTGCCAACTCTTGTGATTTTTATCACGAGCTTCGCAATATTTAGTATTTTTCATAAAGCCCCAGCTCCTGAAGTTACATGAATATGTGAAACTCTCATCTTTCATTTAAGGAAAGGATAAGTTTCTAGCCATTGTGGTTGCAGAAAAAAGATTGACAATGTGACCTAATTGCACCCCAAAACATCAGGAAATAGAAGGCAAAGAAAAAGAACTCCAATTATACATATATATTTATATAAATGATTTTTAAGACAATTTGGTGATATTTTGGGTGCCTGAAATATGAGGTTTGGACTATTGGAATTGGCAGTACTCTTCACTAGCCTCTACTTCAGTCCTGTGCCAGCATGTGTAACCCAAAATCTGTGAAGAGGAGGAGGACAAAACCAGGAGGCAAAGAAATATGATTCTCCAGCTTCCAAAATGTTAGAACCCATGACCAGTTAATACATTACAATCTACATACGAGGCCACCATCCTTCCAGTTGATCTCGTTTCCTTATTCTTTATATATAGGGTTGGAAGGATTAGATTGTTATGGGTAAATGTTGGTATCTCTTATTAGTCAATTTCACCGTACACACACAAACTGATGAAAAAGTATTACCATTGATAATAATAAAAATGTACATATAGGCAAAGTTAGAAAAATGCTTCTTGACAACTTATTAGAGTTTGATTTAAGGATATTTACTTTATTTAGACATAAGTTTGATAATTTGTGTTTCAGAAAGTTAAAGCTTTATAACCATGTCTCAATGTCTGTCATTAAATAATTGTCTGCCCCCCACATAATTTCCCACAACTGTGAAAATTAAAATGGATTAAAACTGGAAAAAAAGCTTAAACATAAATATAAATATTATCTTGTCAAAATTATTTTTAAAAAGGAATTCTGCCAAGCCTGTTTATATACTGTATCTCATTTAAATGGTCCTTCATGTTAACAGGATAAACTTGCTAAATATCAGATAGAGAAATGCAAATACAAACCCTGTTGGGTTTTATTTTTTGCTCCCTGGCAGCATGTAACTCCCACCTAGTCCTAACTGACCACCTTTTCTATTTTTACACATCTTGATATACTAGGGTGTCAGTATTTTCCTAATTATATTAATGTAATCTGAAATCAACTTGCATTAGCTGGCTTGCAACAAGGGGTTAAATAGTTTTGTTGTGTTCAGTAGGTGTTTTAGTGGATTCGGTTTCATGCTTTATTGAGCCCCTTATATCCATTTAATGACAGAGATGAGCAGGGATAGGAAAGAGCTACTTTTGCTGTTCTCCACTTCAGAGCCAGAGGAGTGTGCTACCCATTAATCACAGATGCATGCTTTCTAGCATGTCATTGCCTGCAGTGATTTGGGCAACAAACAGTTATCTTAACTGAATCTTTGTGTAACTAGATGGAAAATTGGTGAGAAGGATAGTTTTTGTGGGGAGAGAGAGCTGGGTACTATGGCCCTGAACATGTGATTGGATTTGTGCGGACGGATATCAGATAGAGGCATCTGCAAAGGCATCCATCTATGCATATTCAACCACAGGATCAGAGACTAAAAGTGGATCATTTTTTAAAATGAGAATTGTTCACTTCTCTGGGGTCCTTTTGCTTTCTTTGTGACATCAGAACAGAAACCTCCTATTAAGGCTAAATCCATGGGAGTGCAATGCAAAAGCAAGAAAGTAAACAAAATAAAGTATTTGTGCATATGGTTTCTTTTAAGATGCATGAAAATGGCCTTATGATATTCATTTGGAAAGAGGTCTGCTTTCTGGTGTTTTAACATTAGGAATGTCACATTCCGGATATCACCCTTATATTTAGGAGAACTTCAGCAAGTTTCTGAAGGACCAGACAAAGGAGATTGAAACCTCAGCAACAGCTTGTCCATTTCTGGGGGGGCATGCTGACTAGTAGGAAATGCTATTAAAAAAAATTCTTACTGATCCTAATACTGGTGCTGCAGTGGCAGTAGAATGCCACTATGGTAGAATGCTCTGACAGCCATTTTCAGTGCCGCTTTGGTTAGCCCTGCTCAGGGCATGCCTAAGTCACACGGTGCTGAAAATGGCTGCAAGTGCTGGAGAGCTATCTATAGTATGGCTCCCAGTGTTGTTAATGCTGGTGGGAATATTTTTGCTAAAAAAATTTCTACTGTAAGCAGCATCTTAATCTGTGCAAGATGCATGATTACTATCAAAGGTATTGTAATGTAGCAGATACCATCCAGTCAGGTGTTCTGCCTCTAACAGTGGAAAATATTCATTGCTTCAGAGGAAGGAAAATAAATTATAATATGCCAGGCCTATTGTGCAAAGTTGTCCATGAAACATTCCTCCCTGACCCCTCCTAATCACCCCACAGTCAATGAGCTAATCCCTTCCCTGAAGCATGAGATTTGGCTACTCTTATCACTATTTTACAAATGTTTTTAGCACTCAAAAAATTGTCCAGTTCATTTAAAAGCCCAGCCACAGCAAGTACACATTTGCAGTAGCTTTTGATTCTCTAGTGTCTTTCAGTCTTTCAAAGTGCTTTATTCTTGTGGTTGAAATGAGTTGGCAAGCTGCAGCCTGGGGTACCAGTACTTTTATGGAGACTTCCTTCTTCTACTCCAGAATCTAGTTTTCAGTTGTTTTGTTTTTAAACAAAATCAAATCTTTAGCTCCTGTGATTGCAAAGAAAATCTTCAGTTTGTGAACCAAGTGTAACCCAGTGCGGCTGTATCTGCCTGTGCCTGCAAATGGCCAAACAATAGCTCTGAGAATGAGGAAATGCCCATATTTGTCTCAGTGGACTGTTAACTTTGAAGTCTAAAAAATGATCATTAAAAATGTCAAGACTGTTAATTCTATAACTGAAACTCAGTTTGTTTTATTGTTACCTCAGCCTCCCAACCCACACTTACCCACGTTGTTTTGTCCAACTGGTGTACTCTGTCTGTCAGACTGTGAGCTCTCTGGGTCAAGAACTCTCATCTTTGCTAAATGTCTGCAGAGCATCTTGAACAATGGGTCCCTGATCCTTGACTGGGGGGTCCTGGGCACTAAAGTAATAATGAATAATAATAATTATAATTATAATAAAAAAGAAAACAATGATTAGCTGATGTCACTAAATGTATGGCACATAAGGAAAAAAGGACCATCATATTAGGAATATCTGCAGTCTAAGGTGAGTGGCATCTCATTTGGGTGTATGAAATAGTGGGGCCTGGTTTGCGAGCAGAGCTTGACAGAACTCCACTACCATTATTTATCCACCTAGACTCGTTTCTCTCTCTATCATTTCATTAATCAATGAGCTGCAGCCGCCTCTGAGGTAACACAGCAGTTCTTGAACAATGCAGAGCAACATTGACAGGGTGAGGTATAGAAGAGGACGATTTTTGTCCAGTTAAAGTTACAGGGGGGAAACATCCTTCTTGAATTGTGGATATCAGAACTGGATAGAGTATTCCAGAAGCAGTTGCACCAAATACAGAGGTAACATACCCTCTCTACTTCTCCTTGGAATCCTCATTTATGCATCCTAGGATTGCATTAGCCCTTTTGGCCACAGGATCACACTGAGAGCTCACATTCAGCTGATTATCCACCCCCCCACACACACCCCAAATCTTTTTCAGTCAGTGTGTCCCAGGATGAAGTCCCCGATCCTGATACTGATTGATTTGCTTTGCTTATAAACACAAACTTTAAAGCTATCCCAGAGTAATTTTCTCTCCCCGCCCCCATGTTCTTTTCAAGTGTTTTTTGTAATTTTTGAGCTTTTTTTTCTTCCTATATTTCATTTTATCAAAACACCACCTTTTCCCTTCCCCAGCAGGAGATGCACCATAAACCCCTCATTCCTATTTAAAAAGTGCCAGAGGCAGAGGCTGACTCATTGGGATGTGTCTTACTCTATGCACCAAAGGTTAACATAAAAATCACTAGTTCATCTTGAACAACTGTAATGGACAGGATTTTGCTATGTTATATAAATCCTTTCACAATTTGCATTAATTAAATATTAGGTCACAATTTATATTCAGGTTATATAGTAAATCTTCCAGGACAGGGACCATGTCTTTCTATTTGCATCACAAAATGCTTGGCACACTTTTGGACTCTGTAAAATAATAAAAAAAATTGGTTCAGAGCTGCCACATTCTATTCAGATGAAGTTACCTCATGGTCTATGTGTTAGATGGCTGGTTGTTGTCACAAATGCACACACACAGCCATTCAATCAGGCAAAGCAAGTGGAGAGGGTTGCTGCATCTGCTCAAGTGGTCATTTCGAATCCTATGTCTCCCCATTGTGTTTGTCCTCTGCAGCATGTGGAGGAGCAGGGCTGTGAACTGAACACACATTCCCTCTTTCCAGGAATATGCATTCTGGCTCTTTTGCCCTGACTTCAATAGACATTCATATTATGACATTCAGCTAGGGGAAGTTTACATGTTTGTTTTGTTTCAGGAACAGCTAGGTTTACAATATAAATTGCATATGAGAACAACCAAATTACATTTTAACCCTCCTACCAATTTAACCTTCAGGTATTGGAGACAATGGGAACACTACATATTGCAAACCCTGACTTCCCTTCCTAACTCCCCAAGAACTAAATACAACCCAAGAGTTCTGATTCCACTCTGATTTTCCTCCTAGCCAACAAACTTACCCTCCTTTCATGTGAGTGAGACAAACTTCTTAACACATTTCATTCCTTGTGGAAATAACTAGCAGAACTCACCATTACTGAAGGAGGGGATAGGGAGGGTGGAAAAATGGAACTTTCAGAGAGCTCTCCCAATCACACACTCTCCATTCAAATATGCATGAGGTGATGAGGCAGATAAATTGTTCTGCTATTTTACAATATCTGTCCCTGCTCCCTCCTCCATGTGTGCATGCAGCAAGCACTTGCTGTCACATTGTGACCTTGGGAAAGTTATTCATTTCCCACTTGAATCAGCTGTAACAAACAATTTGTGCATGTTGCATTTACTGAAGGAAAATTATACTTTTTTTCCTTGAGTGATTTCACCCTCCTAGTGAAATAGTGTTTCCTAATATCCAACCTAGACCTCCCCCACTGCAACTTGGGATCATTGCTTCTTGTTCTGTCATCTGCCACCACTGAGAATGGCCTAGCTCCATCCTCTTTGGAACCCACGTTTAGGTAGTTGAAAGCAGCTATCAAATCCCCCTTCACTCTTCTCTTCTGCAGACTAAGTAAGCCCAGTTCCCTCAGCCTCTCCTCATAAATCATGTGCCTGAGCCCCTAATCATTTTTGTTGCCCTCCGTTGGACTCTCTCCAATTTTTCCATATCCTTTTTGTAGTGGGAGGACCAAAACTGGACACAATACTCCAGGTGTGGCCTCACCAGTGCCGAATAGAGGGGAATAATCGCTTCCCTTGATCTGCTACAGGCACATCCAGCTAATCTGCTTGAGTCTGCAAAACAGGGCTGGAAATGTCATAAATCAGCTTTTTTAGTGATGTTTTGGTATTTCAGCTGCTGGTCTCTGCCAGAACCTAGAAGCACAGAGGCACACAAAACTGACAAATAATGGGAGTAAAACAATTGTTCACTTCCTTTTAGATTAATGGTAGAATTTTCAAGATCCAGTTCAAACTTGGGGAGATTTGGTTGGCCTGTCAGTTTATCCAGGCCAGTTCCCCCACCCGCAATTGGAACAGAATCTGCCAAAAAGTCCTGCTTCTTGGATGAAAATGTTGTTGTTTCTTCACTTTCTGATAGCCAAAGAGAAAGCACAAACCAAGGCAAAGGATCCTTTGAGAGCTAATATATCACCTCTGCAGTAGTCACTAAAGTTTTAGAGGAAATTTTAATCATAAAAGAAAGGTGGAACAACCAGGGCCGGCTCTACTGTTTTTGCCGCCCCAAGCAGCGCGCCGAATTGCCGCCGCAGACGGCGGGGGCAGTCCGTGTGCCATTAAGGCAGAATGCGCGTTTCCGCGGCGGCGGCAATTCAGCGGCAGCTTCTGTCTTCAAAGAAGCTTCCGCAGAATTGCTGCCACTGCGGAAATGTGTGTGCCGCCCTAACGGCACACGGACTGCCCCCGCCGTCCGCAGCGGCAATTCGGTGAGCTGGTTGGGGCGGCAAAAACACACTGACTGCCGCCCCTTGCAGATTGCGGCCCCAAGCACCTGCTTGGAATGCTGGTGCCTGGAGCCGGCCCTGGGAACAACATGTTTTCAGTTTTCTCCATGTCTATAAAAAACACTGTTGGTCCATGTAATTAAAGGCCCATATCAGTCTAAATCATTAACACCTTTTCTATCAAACTAAACAGTACTGCAAATGGAAAAGTAAGTTGGGCAGAGCAAATAACAGCTGGATATTAATGACTCTGATGATCTGCTGGCGTGATTGATTCTTCCCCTCTGGTGGTGAGCTCACTTTCCCTTCAAAGGTGGTGTCTGAGAATGGCTACAGGCCTACGAGAAGGGATAGGTGTCTATGTGACTTTCTTGCTTTTAGGCTTTATCCAGGGCAAGTCACTGAACCTCTCCCTGGGAAGAATCTCCCAATGCCATCAGTCGTAAGGGACATCCGAGATCAAGTGATGTCTTGTTGCAGCTCTGCTGATTTTATTATCTCCTGCTTGAGCACAGCGGCAGTCTGCAAGCCTCGCAGTCTTTGCCAGTGCAGACCTTGCAAGATAAGCACATGGCCTTTTAGTCTTGGGTAAAATGGTTGTAGTCTGAAAGTTTACTCCCTAGCTGTCTTATTTCAAAGCAGAAACCATACAGGCAGCTTCATAAATTGGCTGCAGGTACCTGGAAATGGAAACATTTGCTGGAAAGTGCTATGTGGTCCCACTAATGATGTTGTGGGATTCCAAGGTCAGAAGGTCTCACTGCAATCATCTAGTCTGATCTCCAGTGTAACACAGGCCAGAGAACTACCCCAAAGTAATTCCTAGAGCAGAGCTTTTAGAAAAAATACATCCAATCTTGATTTCAAAATTGTCAGTGATGGAGAATCCACCACGGCTCTTAGTAAATTGTTCTGATGGTTAATTACTCTCACTGTTAAAGATGTACCCCTTATTTCCAGTCTGAATTTGTCTAGCTTCAACTTCCAGCCATTGGATCATGTTGTACCTTTTTCTGCTAGACTGAAGAGCCCATTATTAAATATTTGTTCCCCATGTAGATACTTATAGACTGTAATCAAGTCACACCTTAACCTTCTTTTTGTTAAACTAAATGGATTGAGCTAGTCTGTCACTATAAGGCATATTTTCTAATCCTTTAATCATTCTCATGGCTCTTCTCTGAATCCTCTTCAATTTGTCAACATCCTTCTTGAATTGTGGGCACCAGAACAGGACAATCGCACTAGTGTAAAATACCCTCTCTTCTCCTACTTGAGATTCCCCTGTTTTATGCATCTCAGGATTGCATTATCTCTTCTGGCCATAATTGAGGGATTAAAGAGATATAGTGAAGTGCAGTCTCTCTTTGAGACTAGAGAATGGAGAGACTAGGAGGGTCGAGGAGGAAGCCCAGGGGGAGAGTTGGCCCTGGGATCCTCTCCTGAGTAGGAAAAGACTGGCAAGAGGCCAAGAGAGATTCAGAGCTGTCACTGTTTGGTGAGCCCTGATGACAGAACAGGATGTGGATTTCCAGAGAGAGAGAGCCCTTGAAGGTGTTCAACTGGGGAACAGAGGAGGAAGAATGTCAAGTCCAAGGAGGGCAGAAAGGAATTTACATTTGTACTTATGGTTTGGGATTTTGTTGGGAGATTCCGGGGGAAAACCCTATGAATCCTGGTCCTCAGAAGGGTGAACCTAGAGAAGTTGTAGGGAGAAGGCCTGAAAAAAAGGCTACAATAGGAAGAAGTCCAGGGAGGCTGAGCAAGAAGTTTGACATAATAGACCTTGACTGCTGCTTATAGGGTCCCTGGACTGGACCTCAGTGTAGAAGGTGAGCCAGGGATCCCCTACCAGCCACTGATAAGGTAGCATGAGGCCCTTGAGAAAGAAGACAAGGATCATTTAAAGCCCTGAGAGAAGGGTGTGAGGACCACAGGGACCAGAGTGAGGCCTAAACCCCTTTATAAGGATGTTCAGTGGTTATTTGTTGGACTTTGCTACCCCAGCAAATGTGTGATGAAATGTGACCTGGCTGGAGGGGCGAGTCATGAGAAGAGGTGGAATGCTGCAGGACTTGAGTGGCCACCGGCAGATGGCACTAGGAAGAAAAGCGCTGCAACACCAGGCCTAGCCTGGGGGGATGCCTACCAGTATGTCCACTCTTTTACCGGAAGCCAGCATTTAAATACCTTAATAGGATGCCCAGAAGTCAATACCTCAATGCACATATAATGTTCTATGTGCTGATCTGACCTTACATATGTGGGATACAGATGCACACATGCTTGAAAACCAAACCATAAATATGGTGTCAGTGGGAGTTATGCCTGAGCAAGCATGAAGTAAAGACCATGCTTAATTTGTACAAAGGTGCTGGGGCTCAATCAATTAGTTCTGGGGCTCAAGCAATTTTTTTACATTCATAACTGGTGCAGCAAGCCCAGAGGTGCCAGGGCTGAGCCCTGACAAGCTCTGGCACAAATTAAGCACTGAGTCAAGACTATAAATTCAATGGTAGTTTTAAATGAGTAAGGCTTGAAACTCAAGAGGAGTAATAATACAGGGCAAATCATCTTTATGCCCATTCATTCTGTTTCTGAGAATGCCAGTTGAAGGGTGGTTTTTTTTTTTTTTTTTTACTGAGAGCCATTCAAATCATTTACACAGGACAAGAAGATGGTAACAACTTGCAGTCCCCACTAACCTAGCCTTTAATCTAGCAAAAAAAGTAAGTACATGCTTAACTGTAAGCAGGTTGGCAGTTCCATTTAATACTTATACATGGATTTGTGCCAGTGACCTACAAGTGAAAGTCTCTATAGTCCATTTTCAAGCCATCAAGTCATCCAGTTCTCTGCAAGAGTTGGTGGTTGTTCTTGTTATTACTAAAAAAAAATAAAAATAAAGAAGTCCAGGTTAATCTACCAGGTATGGAGAGATTTTAAATTCCATGTCTGCCAAATGTCAGCTTTAAGTAAGTCATGCAAAAACTCTATTTAAATGAATGAGCCTATCACGGACTATGAGAAATCAAATGGGAAATACTATTTGGTGGTTAGAATAAAATGGTCTGTATGGCGAGGAATAGATTAGGCTGCCTCACAGTCACTGAGCAGAGATAATAGGAGATGATATGAATGTGGAAATAGTAATTTGCGATGGGCCTCATAACACTTGCAGCATGCATGAATAGGAAGAGCATGGAGGTCCGGTTCTTTCTTTCCTTATTTCATGAAAGCTGAATCCCAGGCATTTGCCAGGGAGAGCTATGTGCAGCTGACTTCTCCACCCTGATGTGATGTGTAGGGAATATTCTTTAAACATCAGGGCATTGCATTAACTGTAGCAATATCTGGGTTACTGCAGTCAGAGACAAGGCGTATGTATCCAAAATTCCCCAAGTGGCCATTGTTATTGGGGAGTCTCAGTTTTGGGGTTTCCTGGCTCTACCTCTATTTTGACACCCCAAAAAAGAGGCCTGCAAAATCAGTGTCCTCCATGGAAACATTCACATAGCATCTAAAGTCATACAGAGACAGATATATCCTAGAAGTGAATGCCTGGCTGCGAGGATGGTGTTGCCAGGAGGACTTCGGCTTCCTTGACCACAGGATGCTGTTCCAGGAAGAAGGACTGCTAAACAGGGATAGGGTCTACCTATCGAGGAAAGGGAAGAGAATATCTGGCTACAGACTGGCTAACCTAGTGAGGAGG